AAGTGCGTCACATCACACATCAGGTTAAGTTTCATCGCCACTGATCTGACTAATCGTCTCTATCATCTTGTAAGACCTTCTTCCTCACTGCTAACCACCTGGCCAATCCTCATGTTATCCACAAACTTACTTGTATCACAAATGGGAAGGCACCCAGCACTCATCCCTGTGGTACATCATTGGACACCAGCCTCCGGTCACACGGTCTTCTACTACCACTCTGCCTCCTCGACCACTCAGCCAATTTTGGGTACTGCTGCATTTATTCTTAGTTAATATGCTTTATGGCTTTACAGAATTACTTCTAAAAGTCCATATGTTCAAATCTATCTTTTTTAACCATGTATTATCTCATTAAGGAATACATTTAAGTCAGCCAGACGTGATTTACCTTCTAATGAACTAATTTTAGTAATATTAGACTAATTTGTGTCTTTTCCTGAAATGTTTCTGATAACTTACTACCATCAATGGACTGATGGGCCTACAGTGTCCTGGTTCACTCTGCTTCCTTTTCCTGAATACCAGTATAACATTGGCAACACTCCAGTCCTCTGGCACTACTCCTTCAATCAGTGAAAATTAAAAGATTGAGACAACAACTTTTTTATTTCTATCTTTGTTTCTTTCAGCAATCTAGTAATAACGTTATTCAGGAATCTATGTCTAATGGCAAGAGGGAGGCATTTTCAACTCCTATCCAGACAAGGTTCCCAGTGTGTGGTGTTTTCCCCTTATCTTGTGATGTCAATTTTGTAGATTTGCCTATATGCATCGCATGAAAGAAAAGAATTTAATTCAAAGTAATAGTAGTAACCTGAATTATTGGATGATTGTCACGACTTTTTTTTCCATATTCCATGTGTATCTGAAAGAATTTTGCTGAATGAAGGGTTTTCTATTAATGTATATCCAATATTAAATTTTTCTTGTGCTCAGCAAAATCAACCATACTCTTCAACTGTTCTTTAAAATTTATATGTTTTTTGAGAAGATAGTTTCCTGAATAGAATCATAGAATCTGACATTGCAGATAGAGACCATTCGGCATACTGAGTCTACAACAACCCTATGAAAAGCATCCCAATCAGACCCAGGCCCCACCCCATCCCCATAACTCTGCATTTACCATGGCTAATCCACGTTGCCTGCACATCCATGGATACTATAGGGCAATTTCGCATGGCAAATCTACCTAGCCTCTTTGAACTGTAGGAGGAAACCAGGGTGTTCGGAGGAGACCAATGCAGACATGGGAGGAACGTATAAACTCCACAGTCACCCAAGTCTGGAATCAAACCTTGATACTGTGAGGCAGCAGTGTCAACCAATGTGCCACCCCAAGAAGCAAATACATAATATTGTTCTTGAGTGAAAAAGAAATCTGACTGTATAGAAAGACACACACTGGAGTAATGCATGGTACACTTGAAAGAACTAGCACCCTGAAAGTTGTAGCATGCTGGTACTTGTTGGTAATAAATCTTTAACCATGGTATGTGGAGACTTTAGCAAAAACTTAGAATAAATGTTGGAGTCATGTGTAGTTCAAAGGAAGATGGCAGGCCAATAATCATAGTAACAGGACATATCTACAGGAGTTCCTCAGGCTAGATATTTTCAAATAGCCTGTTCAGACATATATTGGGTTCTGGTATAATGCATTCCAGCGCAGTATCATGTTATAGAAAATTGTGCTATATAAATAACTGGGCCTATAGGAAAAGCAGGGTTAGGGGCAGACCACCGAAAAAGCATAACACAAAGGATAGCACCACTGTCAACAGCTGTTCAGGCAGCTTGGTTAAACTGTGATAGCGGCTTTGCACCTCATTCACAATGTGACTAAAAGAACATTGGAGACTCTATCACCTCTATCCATAGTTTCACACTGCGACATATACATATGTGTATGTTGCCATAGCAACTCAGACTCCTTCAGCAATCTTATCACCACACCACAAGGGTATCAAGGAATATGGACCAAAGGTGTAATTCAAGTTGAAACATAAATCAACCATGATCTGACTAATTACTTAAGTAGGCTGCTGGAGCTTCCTTTCGTATCTGAGTCCTGTGCCTCAAAGTGTTTCCTTTCAAAGGTGGATATACTGTCTTTCACTCTCCTCTACACCCTTCTTTTCCTGATAATGCACCTGCTGGCTTCTTACTTTTCAGTTTTAATGAAGGCTGACAGAGAGAGTTTCTCTGGGACTCTCAGAATCACAACATTGTACAAATACACTGTAGGTATCATTAGCAAAGGGCTTCTGACAGCAAGATGCCTACTCGATGGAATCGCGTTATAGCCAAAACAAGTTTCCGTTTTAGAAATAGCATTCCCCTATTCGTCAATCGCGTTATAGCCAATTCACATCGCCAGAATATGCATTATAGCAAAACCGCTGTATTACTTGCCGCTGAAGCAGGTGTAAATTGAACGAAGGCTGTCTGGCTCAGAGATAGATACACCACCATTGTGCCACAAGAACCCAGTTACTCAGGGTATACATTTTTAATTAGCCTATTCAGATGTATTGTGACACACCTCAGGAGCAGGTGAGGTTTAAACTCAGGACTTCTTGCCCAGATGTAGGTACACTATTGTCATGATACAGAGCCCCAATTATTTCCTCAAGGTAGATATTTTCTTATCACCCTGTTCAGAAATGTTATTACACCTCTGGAGCAGGTGGAACTTGGCCCTGATGTAGGGACATTACTATTGTGTCACAAGAGCCCTTAGTTTCTTAGGAGAGTATGCTAGGCTCAATCATAGTCAGCTGCTTCATCAATAACCTTCTTTCCATCATAAGGTCAGAAGTGGGCGGCACAGTGGCTCAGTGGCTCCGTGGTTAGCACTGCTGCCTCACAGTGCCAGGGACCTGGGTTCGATTCCAGCCTCCGGTGACTGTCTGTGTGGAGTTTGCACATTCTCCCCGTGTCTGCGTGGGTTTCCTCCGGGTGCTCCGGTTTCCTCCCGCAGTCCAAAGATGTGCAGGCTGCGTGGATTGGCTAGGCTAAATTGCCCACAGTGCCCAAGGATGTTTAGGTTAGGTGGGTTAGACAAGGGAAATGTAGAGTTAGGGGAGTGAGTCTGGGTGGGATGCTCTTCAGAGACAATAGAATCCCTTCGGCCCAACAATTCCACACCGACCCTTGGACCATCCCACCCAGACCCATCCCCATATAACCCACATACCCCTGAACACTACGGGCAATTTAGCATGGCCAATCCACCTAGCCTGCACATCTTTGGACTGTGGGAGGAAACTGGGAGCAATGTGCAAACTCCACACAGACAGTCGCCCGAGGCTGGAATCGAACCCAGGTCCCTGGCGCTGTGAGGCTGCAGTGCTAACCACTGAGCCACCGTGCCACCCCTAGGGGTGGTGTGGACTTGTTGGGCCGAATGGCCTGTTCCCACACTGTAGGGATTCTGTGATTCTAAGTGGGAATGTTTGTTGCAGTGTTCAGTACCATTCTCGGTCCTCAGAGACTGAAGCAGTCCACAAATCCACTAAGATCTGGACAACATTGGTGTGACATAGGTGACAGTTTTTCCATCTCTAACAAGAGAGAATTTAACCATCAGCCTTGACATTCAGTGGCATTACCATTGATGAATCACTAACTGTCAATGGTTGATTCTAACACCAAAGACAGAAACTGAACTGAACTAGCCATATAAATACCATATTATAGGAGTAGGTTAGAAGCTGAGAATCCTGTGGTAAGTAACTCCTTGCTGACTCCACAAAGCCTATCAACAATCTACTGGACACAAATCAGGACTTTGATGGAATATTGCTTATTTGCCCAAATGACTGCATCTCCAACAACACCCAAATCCAGTACAAAGCCCCCCTTTTGATTGACATCCGATCTAAAACCTTCAACATTAACTTCCTGTCCATCTACAAACTGCTGATTAACCAGATGTTCTTGTCAGCTGTTATAAAGTTTTCATGAGTCCTGAACCTTGTTCCTGTCATTGAGTCCCAGTAATTTTCAGGTTAATGGTTGTGACTGACACAGGTGTTTCTCAGCCAAGTGGGCAGTTATCTACTAATAATTAAATGTACATGCTGCAAAATATGATTCTGGTAAATTCTTAGAAAAGGAGAATTTTGCAGAATTTATGGGGATAGAAGATCCAACTGGATAACTGTATCAAAGATGATACTTAGCTGAATGACCTCCATCATCTTTAATATATCGTATAAGCTGTGCTAATGCACACCCACAACTAACTGAACTCATTCTCTAGCAAATATACAGCATTTGCATCTCAGACCCAAAATTAAATAGGACTCTGTTACTACAGACACAAAGGAGGTCAAATTTTTTATTACTGAGTAGTGCCAACAGCAAGAATGTCAGATCTTTGCTATTGATTGCATATTTTAAAGATGTATTATATATGTGTTTGTATATATAATACACATACAGGGCGGCACGGTGGCTCAGTGGTTAGCACTGCAGCATCACAGCGCCAGGGACCAGGGTTCGATTCCATCCTCGGGTGACTGTCTGTGTGGAGTTTGCACATTCTCCCTATGTCTGCATGGGTTTCCTTCGGGTGCTCCGGTTTCCTCCCGCAGTCCAAAGATGTGCAGGCTAGGTGGATTTGCCATGCTAAATTGCCCATAGTGTTCAGGTGTGTGCAGATTGGGTGGGTTATCGGGGGATGGGTCTGGGTGGGATGCTGTGAGGGCCAGTGTGGACTTGTTGGGCCAAAGGGCCTGTTTCCACACTGTAAGGATTCTGTGATTCACTGAAGTGTCGATTATATCAGATGGATTGTGTTTTGAACTGAAGGTTTTGACTATTTTAAGCAGTTGATAGCTACAATCTAGAGTGAGTTAATATAAACAGTGTTAAAATCTTAATTTATTTTCATCCACAAGTGTACATAGCATTACTTATAAATAGCATTACTTAATGTTTTATCAAATCTGAGCAGTAACTTTTATATAAGACTCTGTTTTTCTTCACAGGCAGGAGAAGCTGGACTATCAGCTTGTATTGAGCTCTGTGTGAGAGCACTACGCATGGAATCAAATGAAAGTCCCACAGTGAAAACATCAATTTGCAAGACAGTTTCATGCTTGTTACCTGATTATTTAGAGGTCAGACGTGCATGCCAGCTTACCGAATTCCTGTTAGAACCCACAGTGGAAGCTTATTATGCAGTTGAGACTTTATACAACCAGCCAGATCAGAAATATGATGATGAAAACGGTCCAATTCCTAACTCATTGAGATGCGAACTCTTACTGGTTTTAAAAACACATTGGCCATTTGATCCTGAATTTTGGGATTGGAAAACCCTGAAACGCCATTGTCTTGCATTGATGGGCGAGGAAGCATCCATTGTGTCTTCCATAGATGAACTTAATGATAGTGACCTCTTTGAAAACAATGACAGCCATCTTGAAGTTGCTCCAAAAGAGCATTCACTGAATGGACTTCCTAAATTTTACAGCGATGTGATAAAAATTCAAAATACTTCATCTGAAGAAATCAAAATTAAGGAAAAAGATAAAATTGAGAAAGGTGTGGTGTCTGCCAGATTTAAAAATTGGCAGGCCTACATGCAATATTGCGTATTATGTGACAGAGAGTTTCTGGGGCATCGAATTATCCGTCATGCTCAAACACATGTGAAAGAGGGAAACTATTATTGCCCCATATGTGCCAAAAGTTTTAAGAAAAAGGAGATTTTTGTTCCACATGTTACATTTCATATTAAGCAATCTTGTAAAGAACGACTGGCTTCTATTAAACCAAAAAGGAGAGTCGGAAGACCTGCTAAGAACTTGACTGATACTAGTGTCGCAAGTAAAAAGATACCTGAGATAGACAAGCAGGAACATCGTCCAATAAAAAGGAACAGCATATATAGTGAGGATTTTGTGGTCTTCAGTGATAGTGATGGCTCTGATGATGAAGGCAAGGACAAATCATACAAACCTGAAATCATGACTACACAAAAAGTGGACTGCACTGAAGATTATAACTGTCCTGTAACTACCTGTACAAAAGCTTTTAAATATTTTAAAAATTTAATTGCACATGTGAAAGGTCACGGTGATGATGATGAAGCAAAACAGTTTCTTAAAATGCAGAGTAATAAAGTTGTATGTCAGTATTGTAGGAGACGTTTTGTCAGTGTTTCTCACCTTAATGAACATTTGCAAATTCATTGTGGCCCTAAACCTTATGTCTGTATACAGCTGGAATGTAATGCAAGCTTTGGTACATATTCTGAATTGGTAGGACACAGGAAAGTGCATGCACTGTTCAAAGCTAAATGCATGTTTCAGAATTGTGGAAGAGTTTTTACTGAGTCTTATTTGTTATATGATCATGAAGCACAGCATTACCATAATTCCTCATATACTTGCAAATTCTCAAACTGTGGAAACATTTACTACTCCCAAAGTGAATTGCAGAAGCATGAAGTTGGTCACGTCTCACAAGCTTGTGTGAAAATTGAAGCTGAAAATGGTTCACCTTTTGAACCAAACCAGCTCGCCCCAAATAGAACCGATCAGATAGACCAGCTATTACAGATAAAGATGGAAGATGAGCCATGCAGTCAGCCTGATGCCTACCAGAACGGTTTTGCTATTGATTGTGTTGCAAGTGAAGTTGTTGAATCCAAATCTTCCATATCAGAAAAACTAAATGCTTCGCCATCCAGCAGAGAACAGTGCCACCTTCCAAAAGACACACACATTAGTCTAACTGTGAAAAATGAAGAGATCAGCATGGATCAAACTCAATGTGTTTTGTCAAAAACAGTATTTAAAGAGGGGGACACTCTTATTTCACCACTACCTGAAGAAACGGAACCTGGTGAATTAGCAAAACAAGTTCACATGTTCAGCTGTAAAGTTGATGGCTGTAATCGAAGCTATGCTTCATCACGCAGTGTCAGTAAACATATCAAGGCTACGCACCCTGAGTACTATGAAACACTGAAGAAACAACAGAACCTATCAAAAATCCAACAAATTAGAAATGCCTCGAAATGTCAAAATCAGGAAACCCCTCCAAGCTCATTGTGTTTTTCAACTGAGGAACACTTAAATATAACACCTGAAAACACCTTGAACACAGTATGTGCTATATATCAACCAGTTCCCAGTGTTTTAATGGTAGAAAATGATCATGTATCCCATTCCAGGAAGAAAAAACACACACACAATAAGCGTGCAAAATGGCCTGCTATCATCAAGGGTGACAAATTTATTTGTAGTAGATGCTACAGGGAATTTACCAATCCCAAATCTCTTGGTGGTCATTTGTCACGACGAGCCATATGTAAACCTTATGACAGAAAAGAAAGTTCTTCAGTTGTGGAGCAGAAGAGTGGACAGACTTTATACAAAACAGAAAAGATTATTTCATCAGATGCGTTTGTCCCTGGGGAACCTGAACCTCCCTGTGTCACAGATACATTCTTGTCAGGGGAAACATTTCTTCAATCATTGGAAATGGGGGACCACACAGCTCCATTTGCCACCCATGAACTTTTTCAACAAACACAGCAGAACAGCTACAGTTCTGTATTTGGGCCAAGCAAGACTCCCCAGGTCACTGGTCTTCCTGGAACATTTGAGACTGCAGTAGTTCAACAAACCTTTCAACCCAGTTTTGAAATGAGGACCATGGAGGACAGCTCAGCCAACATCAGTATGTCCCAGGCACTAACAACTGTCTGTAGCCCAGGATCATTTGTTGCTGGTGAAGACTTAGCACTCGGCACTGAAGCCCCAGCAATGTTAGATGCAGCTAAAGGCTCAGGTTCCTATTCATCTTGTGAGCCCTTGCAGCAGGCCCTTGAATCCAGTTTTTGTTCAGGAGCAACTTTTGCTGACAATGAGATTCACCCTCAGAATCTGGGAAACAGCTGTGAGCCATCAATATTTTTCACTAATGGCACCCTCCCAAATGTTAATAGCAATCATAACTCATCTCATCCTGAAGACTCTAAGACATCAGATGTATGCATTGCTGAACTTCTGTTGGGCTTGCAAAATTTAAATTTGGAATATGATAAACTTTACAAGAATGGTGCATCTTGCCCTACCTCAGGTTCAGGGACACCGAGATCTTCCATGAACATCATGACACACACATCAATGAGTAATTGTATCAATACTTCAAACACAATCAGTAAGTATTTGACAGACACACAAACAAATATATCACTGCAGGCTGCTGAAAATGGCAAAGAGCTGAAAGTGAATCTCATTAAGCCATTTATCTGCCAGGAAGGTGGGTGTATCTATAGTGCAATGACTAAAGATGCTTTGACCAACCATTATGTCAAAGTACATCAGTATTCCAAAGAACAGATAATGGAAATGAAAATGTATCAGACCAGATTTGCTCCATTTCGATGCCACGTTCCTAACTGCCAGAAAACATTTACAAGAAATTCTAATCTCCGAGCCCACTACCAGTCGATGCATCAGGTAACACGGGAGCAGCTAGTAAAACTGAGAATTAAAAGAGCGTACTGTAGGAAATCAGATGGCCCTTATAAAGCAACAGATACTGTATCACCATTACAGGAAATCATTTCTCAACCCAGAAGTGATGGATTGCAGGAAAGTGAATCCAGTGAAATGCATAAATTAGAACCAGTAACTGCAGGACCTAATGAGATTAATTCTGAAATTAATCTCCATTCACGTAATACTCAGAATGCAAAGACTGTTCTTTATAATCATGAAATGTCACAGAATAGCTCAATGCTATTAGCAGATCTTCAGGATTGCTCAGCATTACCAGCGCAACTTCAAAATGATTTGACTCAGTCAGTAGTGCAGCAGGATGTCTTGGTGCCAGCAGCAGGGCCTCAGGATGCTCCACTGTTACTGGCAGATCCTCAGGGTGCCTCTGTGATGGCAGTTGAATCAAACTGTAGTCTTGTACAATCAGCAGGGCTGCAGGCTGTCGCACCACTTCTGGCATGGCCACAGGATGTCTTGCTGCAATCAGTGGATCCCCAAAATGTCTCGCCAGTATCAGAGGGGCTGCAGGATGTATCTTTACTGCCAACAGTGGAGGAATGTGTTTCACCATTACCGACAATACCACAAACTGTCTTGCTTCCAGAGGTACAGGGTATTACACCACTAGTATCAGGACCAGCAAATATCTCATTGCTATCAGCAGGGCTACAGGATGTTCCAATTATACCATTAGAGCCACAAGGTATCTCTCAACTAGCATCTGATTTAGCAGATAATTCATTATTGCCAGCAGGGCTACAGGGTGCCTCTCCAGTACCAGCAGGGCTACAGGGCATCTTGCCACCTGTAGAATCACAAGAAGTCTCAGTATGTGAAGTAAGAACAAAAGATCCCTTCCTAGATTATGAAAGATCAAAAGGTGTCTTGCTGCATCCACCAGGTATGTCAGTACAAAGAAGAAAGTGTGCGGGAGGTTTGAAGCAAGCTAAAAAAGCTGTAAGTACAGTGAAGTTTACAAAGATGCCAGGAGAAAGGAAGTGTAAGAAATCAATTACTAAAGCAAGAACAGAATGTGACGTTAATCGATTTCACAAACCTTACAAGTGTGTCCACAAAGATTGCTCTGCAGCTTTCACCATTCAGCAAAATTTAATACTACACTATCAAGCTGTGCACCAATCTGACCAACAGCATCTTCACATGCAGATCAAACAAGAAATCACCAAAAATGCTGCTGTCCATGTGAAAGAATTTCAGTGTCAGCTTGAGGATTGTTGTAGAATTTTCCAAGGAATCACGGATCTAATTAAACACTATACGGAACTTCACAATCTCACTTTAGATGAAATGGGAAAAATAGTATCCTCTGTCAGTGAAGGAAAGTTATTTCGGTGTGACCAAGCTGATTGTGTTTCTTCTTTCACTGTTTTCTGGAGTTTTATTAAACACCTTATGGTAGCTCATGGCGTAGATGTGGAAAGTCAGCAAAGTGAAATGGACATGACCTGTTTTAAATGTGACTGTGAAGGTTGTGATCGGACTTATGCCACTAGATCTAATCTTTTAAGACACATCTTTACAAAGCACAGAGAGCTTCATCGGTCTCATTTAATGAGACCAAGAAGAATCATAACAGACCAAGAAAACATTCCAAGAACAGCCAATCAGGATGATCTCTCTGATGAAAAGAGTTACTTTGGCCCTGAAGAAAATGAAGACATCACGAATCATGGTAACTCTAAACCCATTTCAAGGGAATGTTTTACTACAGATAGCAAAAGTATGAAAAGCGGAGAAGTTGATTGTAATAAGTCTTGCAGCTCTAGAAAAGTTCCTAAATATACTTTTAAGAGTAAGGCCCAAGCTTTGGCTATATGCAACAACAAGTCTCTAAGAGAACAATATCCATGTATGTTTCAGAATTGTTCATCTGTTGTCACCAGTGAACGCAGTCTAGTAAAGCATTACAGGATTCATCACAAAATTTCTAAGACGTTTGTTAGTCAATACCACAAACATCTGGTAACTTGCAGGAAGTATGCTAGCATCCAGGGCAAAGAATCAACTAAATATGTGACTAACCATGAAGGAGGACTGGTGGAAAATGCTGTCAATGGAGTGATGATTCAACAGCAAGCTAAGCTAAGTGAAACTGAAATTTTAAATAAGAAACTGGAGAATGATAACTCTTTTAAGACAGCTGATGAATTTTCACAATTGTTTAATACTAAACTGATTACGAATACCACTGCTTGCATTAAAACTGAACTGGAGGAAACTGTAGAGATGATTGCTGAGAGTAAAGTGACTGATGTAAATAACCATCAGTCTTGTAAAAAACGACCAAGCAGTCACCTGATTCTTTCAGACACAGAAGAGCACATTGACAGTAAAAAGAAAAAGAATGTAATAATGGAAAATTCTGAGAATCTGTTGGAAGATACAATCCAAATTCTCAATGAGAAAGATGCGTCACCTTCAGAGCACATCCCATGTAGTCACAAGGCTCACCACCACAAACCTTTTGACTTTAGTACATTCAAACCCATGGGATTTGAATTTTCATTCTTAAAATTCCTTGAAGAATCTGCTCTCAAACAAAAGAAAAATGTTGTATCCAGTAAAGGTTTGTCTAACAGTTGTACTATTAACACTGAAAAAATAGATCGTGGTTTAGTCTCGAGTGTAATTTTAAACGATGAGAGTAATTCATCAGCAAGCTATCCTGTGAAAGATGACAGAAATTCAAGGGTTCCTGTTGACCACATCAGACAGTCAAATGCAGATAGATTATGTTTGGGAACTACCAATTTTGAAACTCCGTTGTCTCTCCACATACTTAAGAACATAAAAATAATAATGGACAATTCACACTCAGATTGTGTTGAGCTTGCTGAGAAGCAACTCCAACGTATGCAACCCACAGTAGTGCTTAGCCGAGTAAAAGTAGATTTTAATATGCTGGCCCAGGCTAAAAGTGTAAAAGAAAGAATTGCTGTAAAAAGTACATAATTCTGTAACATCCACCATGTATTGAAGTAAGGGTAATTTAGAAGCTGTAATTTGCTTTCATTTGGTCCTTGCTAGTAATCAAACCAAAAGGATGCCTTGTAAATTTTTTTTAAAAAAGCATGTTTATAAGTGTCCAGCTTTTTTTTTAGTTTTTTAAATGAACACAAACTAACATGGCAATAGCCATGTCCAGTATACTCTACAAAATCCCTATGGGACAAAATTGTAGCACAGAAAAATTGCTCTTTTCATGTAAAACAACTGTGATAATCTGATGTCAGACAGTTGTATATGGAGCAGGTAGTGTGATCTGATTGACTGTTATGAAGATCTGTACATTCTGTTAGTGACTTTGTAGATCAGAATTGCTGGAGCACGCTGGCGAAATATGTTGTATGAGATAGCTTGAACTGTACTTTTATCATTATCTATATACTTGAGATTGTATCCCATTTACCACAAATCCTTTCTGGTCCCAGTCCATAAACACAAATTCTTTACAACATTGGACATAGGTAAAATGAAAAATACATCCAAAGATCCAAATAGTTTTTATTTATTTCAATAAATTATGCAAACATTTGCCACCATTTTTGGCACAACTCCATGAACAATATTTGAAGTCATATTTGTTTTTGGAGCAGGGAGTAATAAATATATAATGTTTGCAAATAATTCTTCGTGTGTATCTGTGGGATACTCTCTCTCATACAACTCTCAGTGAGGATTTTGAGAACAAACTCTAGCAAAACAAGCGATGTATTATGACCAGGTTTTGGCCTTTAAGAAGCATCTGTTGAAGAAGGCATTGCTTTTAAATAAATTCCAATTAAGAGATGCTTCCCCAAGTTTTATTTTCCCTATAATGGAAAGAAAGATCATGTTTGTACTGTGTCCTCAATTATGCGGTTAGAGCTATACTGTTGCAAATGTTTAAAGAGAATCTTAAAAACACTCGGCAGTTAAAGCTTAGGGCACAACTTTTTTGTGTAAAGTCAACACTGAAGATTAGACGTTCGGTTATTTATATACTGACAGCTGTTAAAGGAAAAGACAATTAATTCAAATATAAAATTCAGATTTTCAGATGTTGTTTAGCAATGGGATCTGATCAGTTGATCTGAGTGCTACTCTGTGTGTGTGTGTGTGTGTGTGTGTGTGTGTGTGTGTGTGTGTGTATATATCTATATATATAAAATATATAGTTTTATTGCTCTAGAGCTTTGTTAAATGAAATGTATACATTTGAAGGTAATTGTTTTGCTTCTGAACTTACCCGCCGTTATTCAGTGTCTGAATAATCATTGGTAACAATTTGAAGTATTAGCCTGGCCAGTGTGAATTAATAAAAACTGAAATAACTGTGGTTGCTGTAAATCTGAAACAAAAACAGAAATTGCTGAAAAAGCTCAGCAGGTCTAGCAGCATCTGTGGAGAGAAATCAGAGGCGGGTTTCGGGTCGAGTGACCCTTCCTCAGAACTGAAGTTCAGAATTCAACTCAAAATGTTAACTCTGATTTCTCTCCACAGATGCTGCCAGACCTGCTGAGTTTTTCTAGCAATATCTGTTTTTGCAGCAGAGTAAGTTAATATTGTTTTAGTTGGTCACCTTGGTTTTCACTGATAACCGGCAGAGTGTTACAGCACACAGTCCATTTCATCAGACCAGAGGATCATCTTGACATGCGCAACTGTATAATGCACCTTGCCAAAGGTTTATTGAAAGCGTACAACATGGTATTGGAAAAACAATTTCTTTTGTATTATAAAACAGTCTGTAATTGTGTGGAAACATTCCTTTTGTATACCAGTCTGTATAGTTGTCCTCATTTATAGATTTCAATACAGTATTATTGTAAATACTGCAATACGGTATTAACTTGAATTGGCATTTAGGTAAACTAGAATGTAAAATTAGATGTCAATCTCAAAAATGCTTTTGTTTTATTAAATTAATATAAAACAAAATAAATCTGTTTAAAAAATATTTTTAATATTGTCCTCCATTGTCACATTGATTTATCTATTTAAAGGTCACAACTTGAAATGCCAACAAGTTCAAGTTTTAATTTGATGTTTCTTTACATGGTGAAAATTGAACTCAAGGAATCGAAAGGAACCAGAGTTTTATCCCTATCTACATCTGCTTTGTAAACTAAGTCATACAAAATGAGATTCATCACTCATTAGCCATGTTTTCATCTGGAATGTTTTACTGCGTATTGATTCAAATGAATGAAATGTATAGCACCATCCCCACTTGCTAGTTTATTTATACCTGCTACCTTGCTAATCACAGGCCTTTATCTCTTCCTGCACATTCCCTGTGTTTTTACTTAAAAGACGCTACTCTGACTTGTTGAGAAGTTCTGTTATTTTGTGTTTTTACTTCTGATACAGATGATGCTATGCATCTCAGTGCCAGCATAATACTTGTAATTAAAAAACGGCAATGGCATATATTTTCTCTATTCTAAATTTTGGAAGGTGGAACTTGTGCTGTCTTACTGCTCATATTAACAATAATGCTAGCATAGTCATTAATAGTACAGCTTGTGGTGGAACTGAAAACCAGTTAGCAATTGAGTTTGTTCAAAAAGCATGCATCCTGCAAAAATCACTTTAATTAGAAATAATTAGCCAAGGTTGCAAATTGTAAACCACAAAAGAAACAAGTTAAATTGCATATACAAGGTAGTGGCTATTCAGTATTGCCCATGTAAAAAGATTTTCAATTACTTTTCTCAAAAGAACTTTTGTACTAAACCCAAATAGTGCAGAAGATATAAATGTTCACCCCAGTCCTGACGAAAAGTTTTCAACCTGAAACGTTAACTGTTTTTCTCTCTCCACAGACATAGCCTAATGAGTTATTTCCAGCATTTTCAGGGTTTTTTTTCTAAACAGTTCCTGCACACAGCTGGCACCCAATATGGCCATCTTTAAGATTGTTCTTTAGGATCACATACTCAACCCTAGCATCATCTGTAGCAGAAGTAAAAACACAAAATAACAGAACTTCTCAACAAGTCAGAGTAGCATCTTTTAAGTAAAAACATAGGGAATGTGCAGGAAGAGACAAAGGCCTGTGATTAGCAAGGTAGCACGTATAAATAAGCTAGCAAGTGGGGATGGTGCTAGTGAGGATTTATAGAGGTGGAAAGACGTGTTCAGAGAAGTGTATAGTTGCAGAATAGTAAAGAGGATCATATATCTGCCCTGTACACAGTAAGAGGTCTCCTTTTTCCTTAACTTTTGCCTATGTGAAATATATAACATCTTCCAGTCAATGGCTGTTGGTGCACCTCTGGTATCTGTTTTCTTGGCTTTAACCTCTGGTGTTTTAGATGTACTTGGAACTTGTCGTTATTTTTTCCCGGAGATGACTGAATGTTCGGAGGTTCTCATGATGTCATGGTACTGTGCACTAAGGTATTGTGTCCCTCAGATGCTCCAGTTTCTGTCCTGTCCTCCGGGTATGTCCACATCTTTCTTTGGCAGTTATTTGTGGATTTTCAATTGATGTTGTTTCTGGCACATTGATTCTGATTGACAAGTTCATTTGTATGTCTTCCCCATAATACACCTTATTATGGACCAGACCAAACCCCCTCAAAATATATTAAGAAGGTAGACTGGACCCTAACATTTTCTTATTTTAAAGGCAAGGGACAGGTGTTATGTTCCAGATGCACTTTGATTGGTCAAAATATCAGGCTTAAGGCAAAACATACTTTATTTATGCACTATAGTTAAAATACAAAAAGGAAAGATGAAATTGGAATTGCTTTATTGGAAAACTTAATAATAAATTATTTAACCATGAAGCAGTAAATGTTCCAATACACTAACATTCCGTAAACACATCCCTGGCAAAGGCAAATTTAGTAAAATAGATTGTCTCATATGCAATTCTCATAGCTGGAAAAGAACCCCCAGCTTTTAGCTGTAACAGAGAGGAAAGCCAGTTTCCACATCTAACTTCTGCTGCTATTGAAAAACTAAAACAAAAAAATCCTGGCTGTGTGCCTGCTTGACCTCACCCATTCGGGCTGTTTCTATTGTTCCAACTTTTTTTTAAACCCAAAGCCTCACAAGCAGTTTATTGGATTCAAATGGACAGCTCTGAATCTCTGTCTTAAAACTTCTCTTCAAAATAAGAACAAAATACACCTCTTAAAGCCACCTACCCCTGCCCCTTTTTTTAAAAAATGACCACCAATACACAAAGAGATAGTAGGAACTGCAGATGCTGGAGAATCCGAGACAACAAGGTGCAGGGCTGGATGAACACAGCAGGCCAAGCAGCATCATAGGAGCAGAGAGGCTGACGTTTCGGGCC